AAATAAAATCTTTAAAAAAAAAAAAAAGATTTTATTTTTTTATTTGAGAGAGGCAGAAAGAGAGCATGAGCAGAGAGAGGGAGAAGCAGACTCTCAGCTGAGCAGGGAGCCCGATGCGGGGCTCCATCCCAGGACCCCGAGATCAGGACCTGAGCCGAAGGCAGACACCTAACCCACTGAGCCACCCAGGAGCCCGGAGCATCCAGCTCTTGATCATGGCTTGGGTCTTGATGTTAGGGTTGTGAGTTCAGACCCCACACTGGGTTCCACACTGGGTGTGCAGCCTACTTTAAAAAAAAAAAAAGAAAGAAAGAACAAAGCGTCTGGATCCTACATGTTGAGTGATCTTTACAAAGTAAGTGAGCTGGTCAGTGGCCCAGCTGGGACTACCGCCCAGATGTCCAGTGTTCTGCTTGATGACATCACATGCTGGATGAAATGATCCCCCTCTCAATTCCTTTTATGTGGCAGTGTGCATGGCTGAATAATGGCCTCCAAAGATGTCCACACCCTAATCTCCAGCAACTGTGGATATGTCACCTCCCATGGCAAAAAGGATTTTGTAGATATAATCGAGGTAAAGATCTTGAAATGGGGAGATGACCCCAGATTGTCTGGGTGGATCCAAACTAAACCCGTAAGTCCTTAAAAACGGAGCTCTTCCCTGGATGCCATGCACCGCTGCTAGTTCTGAGCTCTCATGCTAGCACAGAGCCCTCTGACAGCCAGCAAAGCAAAGGGGACTTCAGTCCTCCAGCTGGTAGAAGTGAATCCTGCCAATATCTGAACGAGCAGGAAACATTCTCCCCTACGGCCTCCCAGAAGGAATGCAGCCCTCTACCAACACCTTGGTTTCAGCTTCACGAGAGATTCTGATCTCTAGACTGCGTGGTAAAAGATCTGTTTTGTTATTTTAAGCCTCTAAGTTTGTAGTAATTTGTTACAGCGCGATAGCAAACTATTGCAGTAAGTAAACATGATTTTTTTTTTTCAATTTCCTTTGTTTTGGAAAATAACTATTCAGAGAATTGGCGTAATTACTTGAGTTCATTGAACAGAAGAGAAATAGTTGACACAAATGTGTAATATCTTGTAAGGAGAATAATTGAATAATTAACGTTTATCCTAGGTTACACAAGAAGCATTTTAAATATTTAGCAGAATGCTCTAACCTTTTTCAGAACTAAAAATAGGAAGGATGGATAGTTCCTTGATGGCAGATAGTGGCTATAAAATGTCTGAAATCCATGCCTGGAATACTCAAGAAGCATTTAGTTTAGCAGTAAGATGGGGTGGAGACTACAAGAGGGGAGAAGAAAAAGCATGGGGAGGAAAGAAAGCAAACTCCCTTGTGGGTGGGGACATCATCCGCTTCTGTGCTCCGAGTAAAAGAGAGGCCAGGTAGAATGCCCTGTGAAGAGCCACGCGGCAGGATGGGGTGGCTCCTGGTGCAGTGGGGAGGGAGAGGAGGAAGCCGCCTGCCCGCCCTTCCACTCCCCTCCCTCACAGGGAGACGGGAGGGCCTCCCAAAGCCAAGCAGGGAAGCAGCCCCTTGAGTGTGCACACTTGAGTCTCCTGGGAGCTCTGCGTACCTGCATAGCAACACACAGCCTTGGGTTTCCTTCCCAGTGTTTGGAAATTCTGGAGGTGAGAGAGACAAACACAGACACAGACAGACCAAGACTAAAACCAGAGGTAGGGGATGTCAAGTATCAATTGGCAGCTAGTGAAGGAATCTGGAAGTACTAAATACTGGGGATTTCAACCACCACGTTGCATTTTAAACCCATCTTATCATTAACTTGTTTATTCCCATTCTAACTAGTGTTTTTATTTTTTTTAATGCTGGGCTCTTTATTATCCACCAGCTGACTGCCACATTTAATTACAGACAGGGTGTCTACGTATGTTAAAGCGTGCGTGTGTATGTGTATGTATGTCAAGTCCTTTGTGTGCATGCATGTGCTCTCTTGGAGTATTGCATGTTTTATGTGCATCTCTCAGTGTTCCTCTGTAGGTCTGTCATTTCCTGACAGTGTCCTCCAGGGCTAATTTTGTTTGAGCCTCAGTTTTTCCAACTGTGAAATGGACTTAATGAGTCAATCTGTGTTACCATGGAGAACAATGAATAAAGCAAGTAAAAGTGTGTTTCAGCAGGAAAGCGCTGTATGCGTGTTGATCACAGCCAGTATTCAGCAAATAGTAGACAAATCAGGTACTAAGCCACAGACGTTGCTGGTCGGCATGCGTGTATGAGTCAGTCGTGAAATTTCAAGTGTCACAGCTTTCTGTGGAGTAGGATTCACACACAAGTAGTTCTTTTGCACAAGTAGTTCTTTTCCCCCTTACTTATCCTCAGTGTTCATGAAGAGTGTCCTAACCTACATCTACAATATCTCAGGAAATGGACTACTACCTAGTTTTGCCACGTTTTCACGTAAGATTTTGCATCTCTTTACCACTGGCTTTCTTTTATAAATTTGCTTTTGTGTGAGGACTCCTACTTAAGTTGTATTAATTAACTTCGCTTTTAGTTGCATGAAAGATTATTCTTTCATTTAATATCTGCAATGATAGTCAAATATTTTCTAAGAACCTGTGTTGACCAGTTATATGGTCCAAAGATTCCCTTCCCTTTTTTTTTTTTTAAGATTTTATTTATTTGAGAGAGAAACACAGAGATAGCAAGAGAGAACATGAGCGGGGGAGGAGAGGGAGAAGCAGGCTCCCCAGTGAGCAGGGAGCCCGACATGGGGCTCGATCCCAGGACCCTGGGATCATGACCTGAGCCGACGGCAGACGCTTAACCAACTGAGCCACTCAGGTGCTCCCAAAGATTCCCTTTTCTTAGGACTGGATTTCCATAGTATTCTGAATCTTACGTGTGCAGTGATGTAACTCAGTTCCATGGTCTGAATGTCTCATCTCCCCGCACGAATTCATACAGTGAATTCCGAACCCCTGATGGGATAGGATCAGGAGGTGGGCCTTTGGGAGATGAAGAGGTCATGAAGGTAAACCCCTCGCAAATGGGGTGAGTGCTCTGATAAAATAGACCCCGACAGCTAGCTCAGTCTTCCTGCCTTGTGAGGACATGGTGAGAAGCAGGCTGTCTGCGGGCACTGAATCTGTTAGCACCGCGACCTTGGAGGTCCCAGCCTCTCGAAATGTGAGAAATCAGGTTCTCTTGTTGAGAAGCCACGAGTCTGTGGTGTTTTGCTATAGCATCCCAAATGGACTAAGGCAGGAAACTGGTACTGAGAAGTGGGAGCGCTGCGGAACTGGGTGACAGACAGACTGGGAGAGAGAAGAGGTACGTGCTAGAAAGAGCCCACGTTGCCGTGAGCGGACGTTTAGAGGTGCTTCTGAAGAGGACCTGGACAAGAAAGAGGTGAGCTGGAGAGATAGCCACTGTCTTCTCAGAGGTTCCCTAAGGACCCGTGAGCAGAATGGTGGTAGGACTATGGACTTCTGGTAAAACCAATCTCACGAGGTCTCAGGCAGAAACGAGGACACGGTCTTGGACACTGGAGGAAAGCCCTCCCTGCTGTGAGGTATCAGTGAAGGCTTCCAGTGTTTTCTGGGAGGTATAACTTGCGAGAGATAAAAATGGGTATTTGATGAGGCCTCATCCCAAGCAGAGTGTTGAAGGAGCTGCCTAGCTTCTCTTGACTGCTTCTATAAAACGCAAGAGAGAAACGACTTAAAGATGGAATCACTTATCAAAAGCGAGGTAAAGCTTAAATATTTGGACCATGCCCAGCCTGTCCTTATTGAAGAGTGACAGTGTCTTTGGAACAGAACTGGAAGGTGTGGGCAAACAGTCATCCGATGAGGATGTTGTCAGCCATCTAAAGAGAGGCCAGGACTACCGTCCAAGACAATGAAAGTATGACCCCTGAGGCATTGCAGAGATCCTCAGGGCTGCCCCTCTCCCGAGAAGCCCAGAGCACGAGGGCGACTGTAGACACACCCTCGCCTCTCACTGGACAATCCTCCCCCGCTCGGAGCCATGGGAGTGGGGATCCCAGACAAGAGGAAAGCTCTGGGGAGCTTCAGTCAGGACACTCAGAGGTGGGGCCCCACCCCTGCCCAGCAAAGCTTCAGGGGCAGGACCCTGCCACCAAGGGCCTGGGACATCCCGCCGAGGAGCATATCCTCAAGCCTTAAGGTCTAACGGAATTTGCCCCCTTGCGTTTCAGACTTGCTCTGAATGTGTTACCTCTGTTTGCTTTCCTGTTTCTCCCTTTTGGAATGGGAATGTCTATCCTGTGCCTTCTCACCACATATTTTAGAAGCACATAACATCACGATCTCGTACATTCACAGCTGGAGAGCAGATTGCCTCAGGATGAAGGGTACCTCAAGTCTCACCCATAGTTGACTTAGATGATATTTCGGTGAGACTTGGAACTTTAAACTTTGAGTTGATGCTAGAACAAGTTAATACTTTTTTGGCTGTTGGGAGGGATTGAATGTATTTTGCATGCAAGAAGGACATGAATTTGGGGGAAACGGGTGGAATGCTATGGTTTGAATATTTCTGTCACCAAAATTGGGGTTGAACCTAACCCTCATGAGATGGTATTAGCAGGTGGGGACGTTGGGAGGTGATGAGGTTATGAGGGCAGAATACTCATGGATGGGAAGAGTTCCCTTACAAAGAGACCCCAGACAGCACTCTTGCCCCTTCGGCCACAAGAGGACACAGCAAGAAGATGGGAAGGGGGCTCTCACCACACACCAGAAAGGCTGGTGCCATGTTCTTGAGCTCTGCAGTCCCCAGAACTGTGATAAATGTCTGTTGTTTATAAGTCACCCAGTTTATAGCATTTTGCTTTCACAGCCTGAATAAGACTAAGATCCTCAGGGTTGTTGGTGGTGATGTTCTCCCCCCCACCATTCTCTGTATACCACTGCAAGTCAGACATGTGGTTTGCCTTCAGGTGTTATTTTGTCCAGACTTCACTTGTGCCAAGTCCTCCCCAGCTCCCCACTAGTGACTCAGACAAGATAGGGAGACACACGTAATGTGTGCTACCACAGAGGTGGGAATGACCCCCACACGGGGGATCCCTTATAGAGTTAGACCAGAGCCCCAAAAGGCCTCCTCCTGCAAATGCCTCAGTTGTTGCTCTCCTCAAGCAGAGAGATTCATCTTGGATGCCACACTCTTTTTTGCGGGGGTGAGTTGAGGGGCAGATGAAAATGTTCCCGTGGAGGATGAAATGCACTGATCATTTATGGCAGTGGGTCGGTTGTTTTCAACAGAGCAACACCAGATTGAGACCCCATTTGGCAAAGGCAGATGGTCCCTTGGTAATGGAAGAGCCTAGTGCTTGTGTTCGGTGGGTGTGGTCAGCATTGTTCGCACAACTTCTCAGTGCCTTGGTTTCGTTTTAAGTTGGAATCCACACTGAGCCACCTACCCCACAAACTGCTACAGAGATCACCCGCATGGAGGCGCTTCGTCAGGTCCTCTTGAGTACCCCCCCGCCCAGGGGCCCTTGCTCTCCTGACTTTCCCCGTGTGCCGTGGGTCTGTGGCAAGTCCTTTACTTGCGAGCCCCTTTACACATTATTCCCTGAAGCCTGGGCTGTTTTTCTTCCCAAGGAAGTGTGTGATCAAGAAATCCAAGCCCATTTTCATATGAGTCTTCCGCAAAGTGTGATTGGGGAGGTAAATCCTTTGTTTGTAAGAAACTCATATGTCACTTGCACAGCTGAGCAGAAACGATTTTGAAATTAACCATGCCGTGGAGTGGTGGTGTTGGCCCCTTGTCTGAATTAGCACCAGTCAGTGAATTCTTCATGTTTAAAACTGAGGGACACATGTGGTCTGAGCTGGTCTTTTGACCCAAGTGAATGCTCGTTGATCCTTATTCCCAGGAAGGCTTTCATGCAGAACCACATCGCTCTTGGGAAGAACAACCCTGTCTCCGTTGCTAGGATGTCCTAGATTTCTGCACACGTAGCGGGAATGCTCTTGTCGCGAGATCGTCTCACATTTAGCCTCCTGAAGGTGAAATAAGGCCTGCATTTAAGATTGGTCATTATCTTGGGAAGACTGGGGAAGATAAATTTGAATCTGTCTTTGAATTTCAACTACACCAGCAGGTTCTGAATAAACAGCCAGATCCTCATTAAACTCCACAGCAAACTTTAGGCATAAATGGAACTTGCTGGGAATTTATTCTCTAAGGAAGCCAGGCCACATAATTTTCTAAACACCCCTTTCCTATGAAATGTGAAATGAAAAGAGCTAGTCAGAACGTGTATTGAATATGCACTTGGCAATGTTAGTACAGTTGCTGCGGGAAGTTACTTTTATTTTCATCATTGTATATTTAGTAAGAATGAGACAAAAAACTAATCAGCATTTGAACCTACGTCCGGTGCTTAAAGTGCTGGGCCCTGTGATGGGCCATGCATGGCAAGACCCCAATTTCTGCATCAGTGTTTGTCAACCATGGCGCCCCTGATAATTTGGGCTCCTCTGCTTCTCTGTGGTGGTGCATCCTGTGAGCTACAGCATGTCTAGAAGGATCTGTGGCTTCTACCCGCTAGATGCCCATAGTATCCCCCCCCACACACACAGCTGGGACACACAGTACTGTGTCCAGACATCGCTAAACAAAGACACCCCCTCCCCTTGCTGGGAACCTCTGCTCCCCCTGTATTGAGATTTACTGGTGAGAAAAACCTCACTGGGAAAACAACGAGGTAAGACACAGCAGAAGGACACGTTTAGGCCTGCCATCTTATCAAGTGGCCTGAGAATGTCAGTGTTTGCCTCTTTCCTTAGAAAATCCTCTCTGCTTGCAGTAAAATGGCAGTAAGCAGACCTCGAAGAAGAAAAGCCACTTTGTTCTTAACTGTGGAAGCTAATTTCCCCACTAAACTTAGTTGGATATACAAATCAGCAGCACATAGAAAGAGAAAGCGAGGTATGACGAATAAATACATTGGTATAGAGGAGTGGCAGGTGTTTTCCCTTTGGATGAGCTCTTCCTATCAGCGAGGAGGATTCGTACGGTTCTTTTCTGTAGGGAAGTAATTGAATACTATTTTTCAACCAAACACCGCAAAAGAGTTCCAAGCATTGACTTGTGAACTTCACATTATGCTCCGACACGCAGGGGTGGGGGGAAACACATAATTCGGACTCTTATGGTAGTGATTTTTTTTTTTTTTGTAGGGCAGAAGTAATTGTGCAGCATATTGAAATAGATCGTTATATTTACAGAGTGCCTTTGGTTCTCTAAAGAGCGTTAAGTACTGCAATTTCACAATATGTGTGCAATCCACAAACTGTTCCTGTTACCACTACAGTGCATTTTGCCAAATAACTTCATTAAATAGCCACAGTGTGCCTGGAAAACATACCTAGAGTCTGTAATTGCTTTTTTAAAGGAGTAGCCAACGGATGAGAGAGCCAAATTTAGTTAGGGGGAATGCAGTCCTCGTAAGGCTGAACAGCCCTTCTCTGAAAAACACCCAACTGCTGATGCTCTGGGGCCCAGAAGGTTGGTTTCTGGCCTGTCGTCCCCCGCGCGGGCATGTGACGTCATCTCCCACAAACCCAGGGACCTTTGTACGCTGGCTGTGCTGAAGATCACCGCACACCATTCGGAGGAGTGCCTAAGGACAGGCCTGTCTACACCCACTCTTCCTTGAGGACTGGTGACAAATCTCCTGTAAGATTGCCATTGCACTTGGGTTTGATGCCCTGCTACCGACATCTTGCAATTCTTAATACCTGCATTTTTACTTTGCACGGGACACACGAATTATGTAGCTGGTTCTGGCACCGAGCACCAGCCTGGGACAACAGAGAGGCGTGCCACGTGTCATTCCCTTCCCTTGTTCCTGCAGGAGTCCTGGCATTGTGCTACGAGGCCACTGAATTTGCTCCCACACAAATCTGATGCCCCAGGTGCTTCTGGACCCGCTGTCGGGAGCCCAGTGCTGTGAGGGCAGCTCCAACCAGGACCTCTCCCTCTGTCCTCGACATGCTCCCGACAACACGGGAGACTGCGTTTCTCCCACCGTTCAGACGGCGGGGAAACACCAGAGGGTCTTCACTGCTGCCACGGAGAAGGAGCGATAACAACAGGCGTCTGTCGAGTATCAGCCCTGAGAAGGACTGACTGACCATGCAGGAGATACCCTTGCCTTCAGCAGCTTTGGGCAGTGAGGAGCCAGGAGGCAGGAGCCAGGAGGCATGTTTAGAGGACGAGAGCCTGTGCCCACTGCTAGGGACAGGACGGAGACGTAACTGGGTTCCAGCGGCGTCAGGTGACAACCCGGAGAGGATTTTTCCTATAGAAAGTGCATTTTGCTGGTGACCAGATCGATTATTTACTCACAGTTCAGAGTAAATTGGCCTTTGAGAGCTAACCTCAGAAAACATATCTATAATATCGCTTCTTTGGGGGAAATGCCCTCTGAGTTCTAAATAATTCTACATAGATGATTTACAAATCAGTTTTAGGGCCATCATCCATTTCTGAATAATATATGCCCCCCCATCTCATGAAATCTTTCACAATAAACAGCCATAGCGTCTTTGCTTACCAGTTGGAAGATTATAGCTTAAATATTCAGTATCGACTGCGATGTCTTTCCAAACAGAACAGTACTGACTTGGAAACTATACTGGAAAATAAAACACGTACATGTCAGAAAGGTTCCCAGTGCCAGGCTTCTTCCGTTGGAAGAAATGGTAATATTTTAAATGGCAATCTTTTTTGACTTTTTCAAAGGACGATAAGGGATAATTGGTGTTCCTACCTGCCACTGTCTCATTTATATCCAGACCATGTTGCTAACGCATGAAATGTGCTGCTATCCGTAGAAGCATCCTGGTGACAAAGTAGAACACCCCTAAGCTTCAGGCTAGCCTCCCCCGTAATAACCGGAGGGGTTCGCGCCTCTGAAAAATAAGAGTGCAACTTTATTTTCATTTTTATTTTTTAAAGAAAACTCGACCGCCACCACAGGGCTCATGACCCCAAGATCAAGAGTCCCAGGCTCGGACGGAGCCAGCCAGGCCCCACAAGGGTGCAACTTTAGTATGATTTTTATAGTATATGATAGAGCATCGTAAATAATTTATGAGTACACAGTCAAGAATTTAGCCTTACCTGGAGTTTAATGTTGTAACGACTTGGCTGTCTACAATTAAAATCCCGATTTTACGCAGGTGAGGTCAACGGAGACACAGAACATTGAACTGTGCATGTCTCTTCAAGGTCTTTTCAGGTATTAGAAGTGTTATTTTCGGGGCGCCTGGGTGGCTCAGTCGTTAAGCGTCTGCCTTCGGCTCCGGTCATGATCCCAGGGTCCTGGGATCGAGCCCCGCATCGGGCTCCCTGCTCGGCGGGAAGCCTGCTTCTCCCTCTCCCACTCCCCATGCTTGTGTTCCCTCTCTCGCTGTGTCTCTCTCTGTCAAATAAATAAATAAAATCTTTAAAAAAAAAAAAAAAAAGAAGTGTTATTTTCTATTTAACGGTGTCCTGTGTGCACTTGACATAGATGGAACTCATTTCACGTTTTATAGTAGTTGTTATTTTTTGAAAAATTTCACATTTTATGGTAAACGTATCAAACCTGTTGAATGCGTGCTAACGCCTATGTTTATGAGCTGTTTCTTTATTTTATTCATCTAGGTTCTGCTGGCCAGCAGCTTCGTGCCCATTTATGCAGGACTGAAACCAGTGGAATACAAAGGGCAGGTAACACTCTCATAACTGATGAATTCGCCGTAATTCCTGTAGGACGATGTTTCCGTTGAAGGATCCAGTTTTATGATTACTCTTCTGGTTCCAAATCAGTTTATAGGATTTTTTTTTAATAACTAGTTTTGTTTGTAACAGAAAAAAAAAATCAAGTACAGGGGCCTTGGCACCTTACGGTCAAGATCTCGAGATTCAGAATGACTGGGATGCTCCTTTTTTCCTCTGATTGAAAACTTCATCCCTTTTGTTTAGAAAAAGAGTGAAAGACTTCAAAAAATAATAAAGTCCTATTTACAGCTCCTTCTATAAGCAGAACTGTGCTGTCAGGTGGGAAAAGGCATCAGGCTGCCACACACCCACCCGGCCCAGCCAAAGCTGGAGCGCTCCCCTCCGGCCCCCACACGGGAGCCCTTTACCGGGGAGCAAGCCCCTCTTCTCCCAGGCCCTTCACTTACCCAAGTGTTTGTCAGACCGTCTGCATTCCAGGACAGCGCTCTTCACTTGGGGCCGACACTCAAGGCAGGAGACAGGTTCTGGGAGAGAAAGTTAGAGGTGAGCATCCCCCTGCAGTCTGCTCTCAGCCAGCGCTGTGGGGAGGTATTTTATGTACGTATTTATTTATTGTAAAGATTTTATTGATTTGAGAGAGGGAGAGAGAGAGTGCGCGCAGGCGTGTGTGCAAACACGAGTGGGGAGGGGCAGAAGGAGAAGCAGACTCCCCGCTGAGGGTCCCGATCCCAGGACCCTGAGATCATGACCTGAGCCGAAGGCAGATGCTTCACCGACTGAGCCATCCGGGCGCCTCTACGGGGAAGGTATTTTAGCCAGCTCCTTTCTGCATTCTGCACCATGGTTGCATTAAACGTTCATCATCCTACCCTTTATAGTGCCACACACACACGCTTTATAGTCAAATACACTATCTACTTGCCACATACCAGAGATACGGATTTTATAATCAAATACAGTATCTACTTAACACATACCAGAGATATGTATTTGTAATCAAATACAGTATCTTTTTTTTTTTTTAAAGATTTTTT